AAATTCCATTTCCTGACTAAAAAAGCCAGGGCTCCTTGGAAAAATAGTTTATTATAGGACAGAGGCAGAAAAGGTGCAGGATGAGGCTGCAAGAGTCTTGTGGTACCAGAACTCAAGTAAGTAACTGGAAAACCAAGGAGGACCTGGCATAAGGGGACAAACTGGTTTTGAGAGGCTTCCCCTCCCAAATCTGGGACAGCCTGTGCCTCATAAAGAATAATGGTATTGCTGTAAGTGTTGAACACACGCAAAAATCTATCATTTCCTAGTAATAGTCAAAGAAAGAGAGAAAAAAGGGAGTGGGCAAGGAGTGTCCAGAAGAATGCCAGTTGAAAAATGCAGAAGGGCCGGGTGCGGTGGCTCACGCCTGTAATCCTAGCACTCTGGGTGGCCGAGCCCGGAGGATGGCTTGAGCTCAGGAGTTCAAGACCAGCCTGAGCAAGAGCGAGACCCTGTCTCTACTATAAATTAGCCAAAAACAGCTAAAAAATAGAAAAAATTAGCTGGACACAGTGGCGTGTGCCTGTAGTTCCAGCTACCTGGGAGGCTGAGGCAGGAGGATCGCTTGAGCCCAGGAGTTTGAGGTTGCTGTGAGCGAGGCTGATACCACAGCACTCTAGCCCAGGCAAGAGAGTGAGACTCTGTCTCAAAAAAAAAAAAAAAGAAAGAAAGAAAGAAAGAAAAACACAGAAAGAATGACAGAATTAGAGAATTGCCAGTTGGCAACTCTTGATGCAGTATTCGTTTCAAGCAAGGATCATTTATGGATGTAAATCACTTGATAAAAGGAAGTTTGAGAATAGTAAATTCAGTCTGACAGCATTTCCCCCACACATTACCAATTACACAGGGGGGAAAAGTGCCCTGACAAGAGAGAACTCTGATGAGCACCCCTTTAACTAGTGATCAGACTTAGTGTTTCCTGTAACCAGACAACTAACACATTCCTTCTAATGCAATGCACTGTAGTACACAACAGCCCTTGTGTGCAGTTTCTGCCAAAAATGTCTACCCTGAATCTGATCCTCAGAAAACAGACAACCCAGAAGGTCGGGCATTTTCCACAACAGCTGGCCAGGATTCTTCAAAAGTGGAAATGTAGTGTAAGACCAAAAACAAAGAAGTAGGAGGACTGCTCTCGATTAGAGGAAACTGAAGAGACATGACAATGCTATGCAGGAGCCTTGGCTGGACCCTAGATTTTTGAAAAGAATACAGCTGTCAGGATATTTGAGGAATAACAGAGCGCTGTTGAATATGGACTGCATTTGAAGTGATTTTATTGAATCAATATTAAAATTCTTGAGTGTGAAAAAAGGTAATATTAGAAACATTCCCAACCACTTTTGGACTTTTATATTGAAAAGTCCACATAAAATATTTTATGTATGATTTAATTTTTATTTAACT